GATTTTGAATTTTGCCCTGGTGACGGCCGAAACCTACTCATATCGATTTTAGACAATCAAGGGATCTTTAACGTGCACAACGCGCACACAGGCCCTCCGAGATTTTTCCCCCTTGTCTCAGAAGATCAAGGGTGTGACTGAAAAACAGCAGTAAAAAAGGAGCCAAGGAATAGCAGTAGAAAGTAGAAATGAACTATTCGGAAACGCACTCCGGCACACAGATGCACTGCATTGGAAAGGGGTGGGGGTGTCAAACTGTGTATTGTTTGCTGCAGATCGCACATAGAGCCTCTAAAACTGTCGCAAATCAAATATTTTCAAGAAAATTCCAAACCTAACAGCAAAATGTCAAATTATGGGTAACCCCTCACATTTTGTTTTACTTGGTCCAGAGGACGAAAGCATTTTGATTGGTCTATCTCCGTCGGAGACGTCTCCGGATAGATACTGTGGGAAGGGTCACTGGGCTGGGGGAAACCCAACACGAAAAATAACAACTTGTCACTGTAAGGATTTGAATCATTTGAAAGCAGTCGTGCATGTAATGCCTGTGGCAATGACAGTTTTTAATTATATACGTGATACTTGGGTGTAGATGATTTTCATCCTATTTATGTTCTGTTCTTGTTTTATTTATTTTTATTTATTATTTATTTATTTATTTATTTATTTATTTAGGTATTTATTTATGTGTTGGTTACTCATTCATTCATTCATTCATTTATTCATTCATTCATTCATTCATTCATTCATTCGTTTATTCATTGATTCATTGATTCATTGATTTATTCATTTGTTCATTCATTCATTCTTTTATTCATTTATTTATAGATTAAATTTATTTTTCTGCTTTGATTCTATTGGATTTCTTTTTAAAAATAAATTCTGCCTTGGTTTTTGGCAACAGCAGCAATGGATTCAGCAAACCCATTAGACCAGACGTTACAATAAATAAGTAAAGAGACATAGGGCCGAACGTATTTATATGGGTGAGTTGTTTTCTTCTCTCATTCCAGTAAAGAAAAAGTGTTTAAAAAACAGCACCAAGCAAACAACCAAAAAAACCACACACACACACAAACGAACAAAAAACAGGACAATTCCTGCCAAGTGGTGACTGTTTCTCTCCCGTCGTGGGAGTTGCTTTTTTGGAGGTCACAAAGAAAACTGTCTAAGCCAGAGATCGCCAGACGTTAGACTTTCTTCTGTCATAGAGTCACATTCACACAGTCAGACACACACATACACACACACACACACA